TTGAGGGCTAAGGGAATGCTTATCTCCTCGAGCGCAGCCTTCATCCAACCATTCCTTCACAATAGATACAATCATCATGGCTCCTACAGGGCCAATTTAAAATATCCATCTCCATCCACATGTACACACATATATACCCACACTTTTCCAGGATTCCAAATAAGCAAAATCTTCTATGTTCAGTTTGTTTTTCATGAAACTACATTAACCAGTAAACATAATCCAGTTATCTTTGCTAAATGTTTGTGCTTAGTAGTTCATTATGCAGAATGAATACTAAAAGTACCTTTTAATGCCCACTTAATGCTTCAGTAGATCTAGTATTTATTACAGCAGAATGTGTCCAGTAAAAACAATAAAACATGGTTATTGTCAGAAAGTTAACATTTTCTTAGCAATTTAATTGCTAAAGTTAAACATTTTCTTAGCAATTTAAGTTAACATTTTCTTAGCAAAGAAAGTTAACATTTTCTTAGCAATTGAAATTTAACATTTTCTTAGCAATTTAATTCAGCAATCCAAACTCTCCATTCCCCACATCCTGCCTGTCTAGAAATTTAGGATTTGGCAGACATAATCCTCCACTGATGTGCCTCTATTGCGAGGAGAAGCATCTGCTGCACTCATTCAGAGCTTTGCAAGTAGAAGCCTCCAACATGTATGTTCCCACCATTAGCTGCAAGATTGGTCCATTTCTCCAAAAAGAACCTAATTTAGGATCCTCAGCTATGCCAATCTGGAGTAAGTCGCCAATTATACACTCTCCCCTTTCAATGCTTCCAAAAGGGGAAAAATTAAGCTACAGAGATCTACCTGGCTAGGGAGACTTTTGGGGAAGAAATGGCGAACTGAAGACAGCTCCACTAAAAGCGGAGCCAATGACTATGGTGGAATGAAGAGCCGGCAAGTAGACTGGCTCTTAGCAATTTCTCTCTGGATAAGGAGTGGACTCGAGATCACCCACAAGTGCTCCATATAGTTGCTCCTCATGAGGAGACCGCAGGACAGCAGACTCTGGCAGGTTTAGAGCTATAGGAGACAAGGAAATAGCCATCTTGATCAAACCAAGGTTGGCACCTTCAAAAGGACACTGGGTTCACATACTTTCTTTTCTAATCACTTTTGGAAATTGCTTGTTAACTGCTTTTCAGCTATTAGGAACCTTTGAATCCACATGTTTTACAGCATCAGGTTTTCTTTTCTAATCACTTTTGGAAATTGCTTGTTAACTGCTTTTCAGCTATTAGGAACCTTTGAATCCACATGTTTTACAGCATCAGGTGAGTTTCCTTCAATCCTTAGCGAAAGAAGTTTTAAATACAAGTTTAAGGACTTAATTTTTTTCTTCTTCTGGAATAAACAGTAAAAGGGTGATTAGAACTTTGATTTTGGAAAGCTGCAAACAGACTAAGGGTTCAGATGGATTTGAAATAAGATTTTGGAATTAATTATAAGAATCCTTCTTGTGGGAAAATGCCTTTCTTTTGAATTCTCTTTAAAAAAAATGACAGGATGGAACTTTGAAGGTTGGATACTAGAGGGAACCAGAAAGAATTAAAGATTACAATTAAAGGAGAAGAACACTTAAATTTGACTTACTAATACAGAATGAAGCAGAGTATAAGATTACAATTAAAGGAGAAGAACACTTAAATTTGACTTACTAATACAGAATGAAGCAGAGTATAAGATTACAATTAAAGGAGAAGAACACTTAAATTTGACTTACTAATACAGAATGAAGCAGAGTATTTTAACACTGGAAATT